CGTGTGGACTAGAATATTCTACAGGAGGCTATAATTACCATTACTATACAGGGTGCGGCATAAGTCGGTTCCACAATTAACACAGCAAATTAAATATGTATATTTTATATAGATTTATAAAAAAATTAATTAATTATAAATTAATAACAATAATAAGCAGTTTTGCGAAAACAAAACAGCGGGAACCGACTTATGCCGCACCCTGTATATCTATATGTATAAAAAATGGAGCCAAAAATGTATAACAATTCATCAATTGAGAAAGGCTGGGCCGATTTGGCTCAATTTTTTTTTTAATTGTTTGTACAGGAGTAGGTTTTTACGAAAAACAATTTTGGAAAAACCCTTTTTTAAAAATTTTTTTTGATGATTTATTTTTTGAGTTCCAGAATGTTTTTTCGAATTGAAAAAGCTACAGTAAGCTTTAGTTTTTTAAAAATATAATTAATCGTTAAAATGTGGCTGTCGGCTGAGTTACGGCCGCTCATCGGCATGTATACATTCAAAATAGTTAATAAAATTAAAATTAAACATATTATTCATATAGAGTGTGCACTTAGCGGGGTCCGCAATCCACTGCAGAGTGCAGATTGGTAGCCTACCTGATAATATACTGCTCACATTATCACATGCGAGTCTCATATAGAGTCTAGGATTAGCTAGAAAAGATATAATAGGTATTGATATAATAGATCTTTGTTTCGACACGAAACTCCGACAGTTAATTTGTCTACTGACGATCGTACGTAGCAATGGCTGCTATATTTATGACGTACTTAGGAATACTTGCCGAAATTTTAAACTACAAACTAACATAATATATTTATTCAGTCAAGAGTTGTATGGTAAGCACATAGATATATACAACAACTAGATAGTCGTCTTCTTCGAATCATTGAAGTCGGCCGCCATTTACAAAGCAGGCAATGCTTACAAAACAATATTATCAGTATTTAGTTATCACAGTATATTAATCAAATAAATATCATATTATAGTCTATTCAAAAATTCAAAATATTATTTAATATTATAATACTGTATTTTATTAATGATTACGTACTTTTTGTTGTAATAGTTTCAATTTTTTCTTTAGCTTGGTTTTAGTTGGTGTAAAACGAGGTGTAGGGGATTTTAGAAAGTTCAATCTCCTAGCAGGTGTTACAAATGTAACGTAGGTATCACAATTATGTTTAGGATGGTTCAAAGATCAAATATATCATGTTTTCAAAGGTGATATGGAAATACATTTTACGAGAAAAACAGATGATGATGCTTTGTTAAAACAAGTTATTACAGGAGCAGAGGATGGAAAAATTATTATTGATGAATTTATACTTAGAATTCCAATTATAGAATACAATGCTATGAATACAAATGTATTGTTAAACGAGGTAATTAGATTTTCTCAAGAAAAAATATATACTTTTAGTTTTAGATAGTGGCAATGTATTGAATATAGAAATATATCAGGAAAAACTATAAAACTTGATTTAACAGGCCAATATCAAAGTCCTAATAGTCCTATGATCGGTAGTATGGTATTTCAAACGCACAGATTAAATAAACAAAATCGCGATCTTTCTGAATTTGGTCATTGTTATGTGATAAATTATTGATTTGAAATAAATGGTAAACGTTATCCTGAAGAAACTCAGAATTTAGATTACAAAAATGACAAATATTGTGAAGCTTATGAGGATTCGACGAAGTATAAAATAATATTTTATAAAACTCATCAAGAACTTACATTGATGTATAATAATCCAATCGATTTTAAAACTGATAGACCAATGTATGTTATGGACATGAGTAGACAACCAACAAATATTTCTGCATCTAAGAAAAATATTATTTTTAATGAAGATTTACCTAGTAATACAATTCGTTATATTTTTTTATGAGAAAAGATGAATTTTTATTTGATATTGAGAAAGGTACAATTGATGAATCTTTTAATGATTAAATGATATTTAATTTTTGTATTTTGTGTTTTCAATAGAATATTTCTATTGAAAAATATTTTAATATTTATTTTGTTTTATCTTCAATCAAATCAAGGTAAACAATAAAATCATCATCTAACTGAACAATGTTGCCATTTTGGTCATTAATAAGTATTTTTATAATTTGAATATTTCTTACAGCTTCTTGTCTGTACAAGTTTTATAAAAGGTTTCACAGGATCATGATAATCCACAAACAAAAGTTCCTCTTGGGTAACTTTTTCATTAATAGATGAAAGAAATTTTTCAATCATGTTGCAATGTACTTCTAATAATCATTTATTTATGTTATTATTTAATATAGAAATTTGTCCTACATGTTTATATAAATTATCATTATCAATCTTTAACCCTAATTTTAAATTTTTGTCCTACAAAAAATAATTTTTTGAACTTCATGAAATAAAATTTTTATCAAATTGATCGAATAGTTTCCTTTTATTTCTGTTTTAATTTTACTGAATTCAGTATTGTTTATTTTATCTGTTTCAATTTAAATGTCTTTACTTCAAGTAACTATAATACAATTTAAATTTTTAAAAAATCCTTGTGTATAAAAATTTATTTTTTCTGTACCTTTTAATAGATGGAGACAAATTTTGCTAACATGCACCCACGAACATCCCAAATATTTTTTTTAATCTGTATCAATATCATAATTATTATAATCAGTAGTAATCTTTAATTTATTTTCATTATTTATTTTAAGACCTATACAATGTTTGTTTTCATCAACGTTCAATATTGAATCTAATTCATCTAATGAATAAATGCCAATGGGTATTTTATAAACAATATTTGAACTTTGATCATTTGTATACACAGTAAATTTACAATCTTCCTTTATATTTATATATTTTTCATCAGAAGTAGGAAAGTATAAAAAGTTCGCAATCATGATACGGGAAAGAGTCAGTTCACAATTGTTAGATTTCCAATCGTAAATCACTTATGGATTTAATGGCCAACGAGATAAAAAAAAGTTGGTGAACGTCGTGTAGACTCCACCACAACCGAAAAGGTCAGGCATAGGGTGAGAATTTCACGTAGCACAAAAATCAGCTAAAAATCAATGTAATTTTTAGAATCAATTTGCAACAATTTGCAGCCCAAGTTTTTAAATTTTAAATTTTATCCATTTTCCTGACAATCTGATAAGCCGACGGGTGTGACAACTTCACGTAGCCTCTATACTTAAAGCTATCGGCTAAAATAAGGTTTTCCGATGGCACTATGGCAGTGCCATCAATTATCATTATACAAAAAAAAAAAATCATTTTACCTAAAAAAAATTCTAAGTCAAATATTAGTTAATTAATTCTATGAATTCTATTTATTAATCAATATTATAAATTAGTTTTGTGTTATTTTTCTTATGAATTTTATAGAATAGCAAATAATTAGTTAATCAAACTAATTTATAAAAATAAAAGATATATTAAAAAAATTACCTAGTAAAAATGTTAGTCGGAATGTCAAATCAATTATTTTTATTTGTATTTCATTTATTTAGGCGACTCATCAATACCGAGTTATTTTTTTTAACAAAAACTACTGTTTCTAATACCTACCAACGATAATATCGACAATATTATTATCACGATTTTTATTCTGAAAAAAATATTATTCTTATTTTATTTAATATCCGTGAAATGTTCAATTGGACGATCGATCCGCATTTGCAACTGTTGTCAATGTTTTTAGTTTTTTTTACAATGTCAATAAAATTGTATTTTAGTAAAATAAATAACGTAAAAAATTGTGGTTCAAAGCTTTTCACCAAAGCCAAATCTCCCACTCGCCCACCCAAAAAAAACATGCAAACACTTACCCAGTAAAAATATTTATCAAAATGTCAAATCAATAATTTTTTATTTTTATTTAATTTACTAAGGCGACTTACCAGTACCGGTTTTTTTGTCAAAACTACTGTTTCTTATACCAACGATACGTTTCAACAATTATCGCGATTTTTATTCTGCAAAAATACTCAGACTCTGTAATATGTAGGCACAAGGAAACTATCGACCCGCATAAAAACTGTTGGGATTTAGATTGCAATGAATGTTGTAATAATTTTTCAAAATTTCAAACTGAAATATTTAATCAACTAACTAAAACCAAACAAATGTACTTTGATTGATCCCTCGTATATGTTGTGGAAAATCAGAATATTTTTTCAAAATACAATTCAATCGTTGAGACGTATGTTTGAATTAGAGTGTCTATATTTGAGTGAAAAATAAATATACTTTTTGGATCACAAAATTGTTCTCTACAATTGCGTTACTATTATTCGGGTTACTACTACTTACGATAATTCGCGACTAATAACATCGACGAGGCTAATACTTACTGAATGTATAAGAAGTTGTCTATAAAATGTTCCTTAGAATCCAGTAGTAAGGTTGCCCCTTAAATCCGGGATGTGTCTGGCAAAGAATATTTTTAGTTTGTATTCGAATACAATTATTAGTATATATATTTTGTCTTCCTTTATTATTTGTCAGTTTTGGAAAGATTTGAATCAAATAAATTTTAAAAATCTTTCGACTCGTATTTATAGGCATATTTAATTTTCGATTGTAATTAGTTTTTTAAAACTAATATCGATAAAAAAAATAATCACTTGTTCAAAAAACTTGAAAATGTAATACAAGGTTCATCGAAAATTGTTGCGTTAGTTGATATTAAAAACAATTGAGCATAACCACAATCATTTTCTATAAGTATTGGAATTTGGAATTTGGACAAAATTTGTAACTATCACGAAGGCTGCATACTAGTTGCGGTCATGACGATTTTTGAGATAAACAGATATAACAGTTGCGGTCACACCAATTTAGGTAATATCTTAGTTGCGGTCATAGCTTATCATAGTTGTATATAATGCACACAGTGTATATATGTGGGAACACCACTACTTATCTGTAAAGTTATTTCCTTTCAATTTATACCTACAAAATTTTAAAATTTATAATTATTATNAATTGAGAGTTGATATGTTATTATTTTTGTGTATCGTAGGGTTGGACGAAGAATTGTTGACATTTTTTACATTTTCCAACAATTGCAAAATAGTGTTCATAACATTGCATTTGGATGTTCTTTTATGAACTCTTAACTCGTAAAAGAATATCGTAATGGTTATTTTTGTACGTGGACATTTAAATGTAAAATGTGTAATCTAATTACAAAAATTGAATCTGAAAAAAGTGAATCATATATACCTACCAATCAACAAAGCTATTGTCAATGCTACCGTTGGTATTGGAATAGGATATACTTAGTGAATTTTCCGCAATTTTAGAGATACCCTACTTTAGCGTTAATACATACTGTAAAATATTCGATAATCTTAGTACAGTAATAGAACAAACGGCATGGGAGATGGGAACAGATGAGATTGGCGGGCATTGAGGAAAAGGAATTAGCGATGGAGGCTGGAGATTTTGATACTGATGGTATACCATTGTACATTTGTACCCTGTAATTGCTGACGGTCAATGGGGAAAACGAAGTTACAAGACCAAGTATGACGCGTTATCTGGAGCTGTAAGAATTGTTCTATCACATAATCGTATAAATAGCGAATTAGTTTAAATTATTGTAATATGATTTCTATGTAGGCTACAATTATTGGATTTCGCTCTAACAAAATCTTATTTGTCGGAATACGAAACCGTTATTGTTGTATATGTGAAAGAGCTCTTGCGTTAAAATTGTCCACAAAAGACCATACATGTATTTTAAATTGGGACAAAGCTGCTACTGGTATGGAAGCTGATGGAATTTCCGAGGGATTTGCCAGAAGCGTTGAGTTACATGGTTTGAAATTTAACAGATTAATTGGTAATTTTATTAAGTATAATCTTAATTTTAAATATAATAAAAATACTTATGACTCAATAATAAATAATAGAAACATAAAACAAAAAATATATATAATTGTCTTAGGAGATGGCGATAGCAGCGTATTAAAAAAACTATTAGAGATAGTTCCTTATGGACCACACCATTTGGTACAAAAAATTGAATGTCGCAACCATATATTAAGAAATTATAGCACAAAATTATCTGCATTAACAAAAAATACAAAATACCCACCATACTTAAGACAGCTAATTACAAAAAAAATTACTAAATTCTGTGTAGCTATTCGAAAGGCAATTCAATTTAGAAAAAATTTAAATACTAACAATATTGCTAAAATAAAGGGTAATTAATCATTTAAATTATTTAAATTAAATAATGAGCAATTTTTTTTACATAAAAAGGTAATCAATTAATTTTAATTATTTGTTTTTACAATATATTTTAGGACTTCAACAAGACATTTCTAATAGCCCTTATCATATTTTTGGACAGCATTCACAATGTGATATTTATTTTTGTAAAAAACCAACTGATTGTAAAAATCATGTTCCAGCTATGGAAATATGTAGACTTATGAGTGATGTTAATTCAGTTTTAAGAAGAGTGGTTGAAAATGCTTCAAGTCTTATATATGATGTTACAAACAACGCTTGTGAGCAATTTAACTGCGTTATAAATAAGTATATTTCAGGGAAACGAATAAACTTTTCTTTAAAGCAATCTTACAATACAAGAGTTCAAGCAGCAATTATTTCCTACAATACTAGTGGTAATTTTCTTAGAGCGGTCCATAAAAAATTGATGCACAAAAGCCCCGGTATAAAACAAACTTATATTCATACACTATTCGTGTACTTTTATAATAACTATAACTTTATGTTTGTGTTTTTTTAGGAATGGTCGGTAAAAAATTTTTGATATCCAAAAAGTACAAACACGAAAACTTAAAAAAAAGACGTCTTTTCAATTCAAAAAAATCAAAGAAAATAAAATACACAGGACCAGATGAATTTTATGGCCTTGCAGAACCGTTACCAATAGATGAAAATTAAAATTAAATGGTAGACATAATATTTTGTAATTTGGTAATTTTTAATCAATTGAATAATTGTTTAATTGTTATCAAACGGTAATTTGTTGATCAATAAGTTATTTATCAAATCTTATCAGAAAACAATACAAGATTATAATATCGAATATTCTAAAATCAATGCTATTACATATTCATAAGTTTACGGTCATAATTACTAAATCCAAAATAAACAAAATAAATTTATTTTATCTATTGATCATAATTATTATAATATAACCGTATTAATTAATACTAAGTATTACAAATATGTACATATTGATTTTTATTTAATAATTATTTAAATGTCATCAATAAATTTAGAAGAAGTAAAATAATATGGTTATTGCGAGCCACACTGAAAGCGTTCACTGGCCGTACGAGCACGTGGGTCGCGGGACACATGTTTGTCACCACTATGCCACTATGGTATTAATTAATTTACTGTTTTTCTAGAAACTAGAAAAAATATTAAAAATCAGGAGATTAATGAAATCAAAATGTTGAAACGTCAATATTTTCAGAAAAATTACCTCTACAATATAGCTATCTTCGATTTTTTTGAAAATAATTAAATGAAAAAATATATTTTTTAACTTTTTTACCAAAACATTAAAAAAAATTAAAACATGAAATATTTGTAGTGTTTGTCCCTGTGAGTCTTAATAAAAAACAGAATTATGATATCTTCATTATTTCAGGAGATATTGCAATGGGTAAATCCTCATGGGACACTCTGTATAACGTACATAACAACTAAACCTGTCAAGTTAAAATAAATAGGTGTTAGAATAATTAATTTAAAAAAATAGGGATTCACTTTGCTGTATTAGAGGTTTTGACTGTACCTCCGAGTCTCCAATACTGTACAAATTAGAGTAGAAATGAATGGAACCACAAAGCAGATTGTAGCCATCTATATGTAAAAGTATTTTCGGGACATTTCATATAAGGAGAACTTGGTCTCCTCACTCTCCATGGGTTTTACAGTTTTCTTTTCTTGATTAATTTTTTTATTGAGTTGAATGAGCTTNATATTAATTTCATATTTAATCATCATATAAACTATATTTTATTATATTATTTAGTATACTTAGTTATTATTATTTGAATGACCGCAACTAGTATGTAACCTTTTTGATGGATGACCGCAACTAGTATGTAACCTTTTTGAGGGGTGACCGCAACTAGTATGTAATTTTTGATTATGACCGCAACTAGTACACACCGATCACGAATATCTGCAAATTATTTTGAGTTAGAAATTCATGAAAATTGTGTTTTTATATCTAATATTTTAAAATTCAATACAAGATTAATGAGAAGTTCGTCTTCTTTTATAAAGAAAAAAATTTCTACTGAAAAGTCTAATTAAATTTGTATGTGTATCTGAAGTTGAAATTCTTACAACACTGGATATTCACTCAATTTCTCAAGTAGGGATTTTTGTTGTATCAATTTTTTTAATTTTTTTTTCTATAAATGTGAATAAAAATTTTTTTGTTGGGTCAAAAAGCTTGAAATATTAAGTACAAGTCTCTTCATATGTTGTTACAATATCAGTTAAATAATTATAAATTATTAAAAAAATATTTAAAATACATAAGCAATTAAAGTTCAAATTTTCACGATATTTATAAAATTAAAAATGTACATATTATTTTGTAGTCAAATACTTAAAAAATGTTCAAATTTTATAGCCAAAGATTCAAAAAAATTAAAACAAACCTAACCTAAACACAAGTAGTTAATTCTATAACCAAAAAATTAAAAAAATATATCCAAACACACTTTTTTTTATTAATATTTTATGTTCAAGTTTGGTCCAAATTAAATATTATTAAATAACCAATAGTACCTAATGATTTAAGTTATTTTGTTGTAACTTAAAATATTACTCATGAATTCCTTCTTGAAACTATTGGAGTATATTATTATATTTTATACACACAATGACTTTTCAGATGTAATTTTTTTGGGCAAAAATGCATTTTATCTAGTGTGGTACTAATGCTTACCAAGTAGTAAAATAAATTATGTAAAACAGGTAGTTCAAAGGTGGCTTACAAAGTCAAACCTCCCTACCTTCACCCACAAATAATCTTGTAAAACTCAACTGAATTTTTTTAAAACAAATAACCACTTAAAATTACTTAGCGAACAACACATTTTTAAGAACACTTAAACAAATGTATATCTTAATTTATTACTTATTTCAATTTGAATAAAAGTCACTGTTCAGTGTTCACAAACATTCTGTTTGCATAGTGCATCGTTTATACAATTTGAACAATTATTTTAGTTTCTACCATTCACATTAAAGTCGTATACTCAGCAACAGCAGCCACGAACCAACAATTCTCATAACAATGTTAAACTTTTCATTACATTCCCTTTTTACCAGCAATAACTATTCTAAATATAATATAATCATCAATACACAAGTAAACAGTTATCGGGTTAACAGAGTTCCCGACTATCAACCGCCGAATACTTAAATTCGCCAGCTTAATAGTTAATACTGTAAAACCCCAGATACGCAGTTTTATCAGTACTTATTATACTTAGCCTATATTTAAATTTAACGCATTATTACACTAATACACTATTACACTATTACCAATTACCAAATTAGTAGCTTGTGTAGCACTGCAGCTATATGCATAAACAAATTTATATGATAATAATGTTCGAATTATATACAATATAGGTACATAATATATTATACGAGTTATACGAGTATGTCGTTTATGTATATGGCTTATTAATCATTAATGGATAAACTATTGATCAAATGTTGTTTTGATTGACAACACTAGTCAATAAGTTGATGATTATTAGGCACATTTTTAGGGTAGGTACCTACATAATATAAAGAAGGTTAAATAGATATGATCTCAACTTTGTGATACGCAAGTATCATGGCTGACACTTTCAGTGCATACTAGCGCATCGGTAATTAAATAACAAAACAATACAAATTATCAATTCCGTGGCTCAATAAATCTAGAAATCACTGCCAACTGAGATTCAATTCCATGCTAGATACGCTTATAGTATGATGGAGGATGGCCAATAGGGCTATAGTAGTATAGTCTTACCCCCAGAATTCTGTTAAGCCCCTAGGGATTGGCAAGAAGTTCTGGGTTATTTTAATTGGTGAGCCAACATGTTCTTTACCCGAACCAGATTTAACGGGGGTACCGGACAATCGCTTAAAACGTTGGCAGCGAGTAACTCAGTTAACTCAAACACTATGGCAACGCTGGAATAAAGAGTATTTGTCGCAGCTCCAAACCAGGCGAAAGTGGCTGGACAACAAGGGTCCTAAGTTAAAAGTTGGTACTGTGGTGTTGGTGAAAGAAGACGATACCCTCCCGATGTCTTGGTCCATGGGTCGAGTTGTTCGTGTCCAGGCTGGTGACGACGGTGTCATTCGGGTAGCTACTATATTAGTAAAAGGTAAAGAAGTATCTAGAGCAGTTCGTAAACTTTGTCCTCTTCCTTTTGAGGGAAATAGCCCATAAAATAAAAAAAAAAAATATATTTTTTGTAATACCATGTTATGATATCTAATTACCTATTATATCAAATTCTAATAATTTATTTATATTTAATAATTTTCTAACTTATATTTAGATTATTTATGTATTATACGTTATTTATCTATTTATTGTAAACTTTTTGTTGAAAAATTATTTATAATATGTATTTGTTCTTATTATGTATGAATATTCTAATTTTTCAAGGCGGGCGGCATGGTGACGCGTGTATTATATTATTATTATTATTATTATTATTATTATTGTGTTTATCTGTATTAAATGTTATCGGAATCGATGCCCAGTTTATTATATCTTCCGAGTTTAGTGTGTATTCAACAATGTATCATTGTGCATATACTTGTCACCGCGTCGGTCGCCGCACAATAAAAGAAGTAATACGGTAAAATAAAATGGTCACCCTACTCTAGTAACTAGTCAAATAGAATACCTACTGGCTACTACTGCAGTCTACAATACTATATGACAAAATATTTGAGATTTCATTTCTGCTGCGTCTGCAATACTTCGACAAATATAGCTTAAAGTTTTATAACCATAGGCGCAATTTGGGCTAAATTTATGGGGGTGCTAGATTTATGTGGACCAAAGAAACCCTGATTAATTTTTTTATTGAGTTGAATGAGCTTCCATTAAATATATAATATTGTATTATCCCCTGAGCAATTATTGTCACAAATTTTATTATCAAGTATCAACTAATATTTTACATTTTATTAAAAATGGTTTTATTTTTGAAAATCCAAATTATTAATAATCATAATATATGATTTAAATATCAACATGAATATTTGTTTTTAATATCACATAGTGATTGCGCGGCAGCATAGAAACTAGCTGCAGCAGCTTGTCCGTATGCAGCATAGGCTTGTTGTTGATATCTGCATCAAAAAAACTAATTGTGTTGATGATAACTTGTGTCATATAATCATAGATAATATACTATGCATATTATAGGCTATACAAACCTAATTTTATCATACATTCGCATGTCAGAATCTATCTCCCTTTCTCTTTCCCTGAATGCAGGACGACTACGGTAACTATTGTCATACCTTTCACGTCTGGTGTTCGAGTCACGACTAGATGAAAACCTAACAGTATAGTACATTATCACANAGGTAAGCTCATGTATGATGCAGAACCTGAGCGACTATACAATTCAGGACCATAGAAACCAGCTGCAGCAGCTTGTCCGTATGCAGCATAGGCTTGTTGTTGATATCTGCAGCAAAAAAACAAATTGTGTTGATGATAACTTGTGTCATATAATCGTAGACAATATACTATGCATATTATAGGCTATACAAACCTAATTTTATCATACATTCGCATGTCAGAATCTATCTCCCTTTCTCTTTCCCTGAATGCAGGACGACTACGGTAACTATTGTCATACCTTTCACGTCTGGTGTTCGAGTCACGACTAGATGAAAACCTAACAGTATAGTACATTATCACAAGGAAAAAAAACAAAAGAAAAAAATTACTATTAAATAATGAAAATCAATTAACCTTCTATTATCACTTCGAGTGTCGCTTCTAATATCACTTCGAGTATCGCTTCGATTATCATTCCGTGTATCACTTCGATTATCACTCCTAGAATATGGTGTGCTCCTATTTCTATGATGATTATAATTTGTATCATACCTATTTCTGCTTTGATCATATGACCTTGTAGCATTGGAGGAATTACTAGAACTCGGAGGTGTAGTTAGAACAGTAGTTGGAGTGGTTAACAAAACACCTGAATTTATCTTTTTTTTGTTTTGTTTTTCTTTATCATCATTATCACGTTTTCGTTTTAATGAATCTTCCGATTCCATCTGCTAAATTTAAATTTTTGTTTTTAACAATAATTGTCAATTTATACAAAAAAAGTTTTAATTATTAATATTAATTAATAATACATCAATTAATGTCAAAAACTTACATTTTTCAGGAGTTTTTTATCTTCTTTAGATTTATCTCTGATTTTATCTTTGTTTTTATTTCTATCTTTTACTTTGTTATCTTTCTCAAGCTTTTCTGTGGTATGTAATCCTCGGCGATAAATTTTTAGCAGTTTTTTAGAATCAAATTCAGTAAACTTTGAGACGAAAAACCACAAATTGCTGTTAATAGAATGTAATAGTTAGCATATAGTATTCATCTCTATACAATTATTAATTGACAGAAAAAATATACTGAACCTTCTCCATTCTCTTATTTTATTCGGGTCCTTAAATTCTTCTAAGCATTTACCAATGTGTGATCCAATTTCTATTAAACATTCTTGCATATGATTTACATAACGTAATTCGTTTTTCTTTTCTTCAGGATCATCTAAAGCTTTTAATACTTTCTTCACCGGCCTCATTTTTTCTTTACACTGATAAAAAACAAGTATAAAATAGTTCACAAATTATTGGTTAAAATTATTCTAATTTTATGTAATATTAATATTCACAACAAATATTTTGAAGCAAATATAAGATTTTGGAATGGAGAAAACAAAAGCGATTTATTGAACATAAGAACTTTTCTTTCCAAGGTAAAAATATTGACTGAATTTGGCAATTTTCACCAACTAGTATATTTTTGGCTCCTATTTTGGAAAAGATATTTATAACATTTTAAGACATTTCTACTTTAGTATCTACTAAAAAAACCAATTTAAAATTGATTTAAATATGTATTGTATTAGAGGGATGGATGAATGAATATGCTTGTTTCTAAAACTTAGAAATAGAAACGTGTTATTATAGATTATCGGATTTTAGTGTTTGTACACTAACAACATTTTAACTAAATTATGAAATTGAAAAAAAAATATTATAGAACAAATGAATAAAAAATCCTCAGAAAGTAGATTTAACAATAATAACTCAAAATTAAAGTAAAAGTAATATCAGTGGATTATTTTTTTTTTCTATAAGGATAAGGCGAAAAATAAAAATAATTCATGTAAAATTAAGGACTTTTTAGTTATCTTAAGAGTAAAATCACCTATTACAAAATTATAGACGATAATATTTTTGAGGATTTGTCGAATTGGATCAATATATTTTTTCATTTGAGTTGATTGCCTGTAAAAGTCGCAGAATACCACCAGCTGCAAACAAAGTTGCACAAAAGCCAATTGAAAAACATTTCAGACATGATTTTTTCCAAAATTATTTGGAAATAAAGAGCTTAGATAAATTGAATGTCATATCTTCAAAAATATTTTCTTTATATTTTTGTAATAGGTGATTCAACTCGTAAGATTACTCAACAATATCAAAAAAAAATTTTGTAGGACTGGACTTTGACTATGTTGCACGTAAATAAGTTAAAGAAAACAAAGTGGGCTGACATCCTCTAAATACATATTACTTGTAATGTTAATATAAAACATATAAATTAATTAATATTAAAAAATGTACCTCTAAAAATTTTTCTTTTGGCAACTCAACAATATCATCCACATTTACAGCCTTAGGTTCACTATTAGCAGTAAAATGCATTGGACCCGTTTTGGCGACAACTTTACGTTTTTTCGGAGAACTAGTCAATCCAGATTTGGCATTGATCAAATCTTTTTTGGTTTTTAATTTTTCTTCATGATTAGATATACTATCAAATTTTCTTTTGTTCCCGTTTTCATTGTCAGTACTATCATCATCAATTATTTCTCTTGATTTTCCTTCTTTTATCTTACGCGCCTTCTTAGGTTTTGGATCACCTTTAACTACTACTTGATTTTTTTTCAACATCTTCAGTAGATATTCAGAACGAGCTAATAAGTGTTTAGCTTGCGGTTTTTTATCTTCATTGGATAATATTTTGTCACTGAGGCCTAATGCAGTATCGATTTTGATTGCTTCCCATGAACCTAATCCATAAAGATAAATTCCTATTAATAGTTTAGAATCATCAGTTATATCCCAATCAAAATCAAAATTAGCTGATTTGACACGTTTCAAATCTAAAGTGAACTTCGATCTTTCCTCTTCATCTGATGGTATTATATCATCCAAGACATCTAATTCTTCGCTACAAGCTAATACACTTTTAGCATTCACTGCTACACCACCAATTTTTATTGATGGTCCAATATTTCTTTTTTTAACATCTTCATTTGTAGCATCAGATTCTTTTTCTGTGTGCTCACTATTACATGCTTCATTACAACGGTCATATAACATTTGAACTAATTTTTTTAATTCTGATTTAGGTTTCTCTTGAAGATCTGCATCACCAGCTACAGCATCAATACGTTTCATAGGGTTAGGAAAACGTTTACAACTTTTAATAAATGTTCGAATCTGAAAAAATGTAATTGAATAAATAACTAATTATTTTTGGAAAAAACATAATAATAATAATAACATAATATAATATTTTATATACTTCTGCATCGGTGAAACCTTTAACTACTTCTTTGGTTCCAGCACTTGGTCTTCCACGTTTTCTTGGCCTATCTTCATCACTGCCATCATAGCTAGAATCATCAGACTCATCTTTTTTAGACTTTTCACTCTTTTCTTCTCCTTGATTCACTTTTTGTAATGTTTTTCTACTTCTAGGAGGTAAATAAAGATCTTCCATTTCTTTTGCCTTCTCTTCATCCTCAACTTTTTTTCTTAATGTTTCAGGTATTATTTCTTCCTAAAATAATCAAATTAACTTTTGGACTCTATTAAATATTATCTAAATTATTTTTTATACCCATTCTTTATTTTCTTGTTCATTTTGAGCACTAGGTGACTTATCAGCAATATCTTTTTCTTCATCAAAAGTAAAACTAGCCACTTTAAAAGCAGATAAAAGTTCATCACCCACGGTTGTTGGAGCTTCATCTCGTGTTTCAGCTCTTCTCAAAATGTCATCAATATCACACTAAAAAAATTATAGAAGTATTTGTTATATTAACATATTCAAAATTATTTCAAATTTGTATTAATATCATACAATAGGTTCTTCGTCAGCTCCAGGATCATCTTTAAATAGTTCTTTAGCACCAAATTTTAATATAGCAGTAAGCTCGTCTTTGTTAAAGGGAATTGATGCATTTTTTGCTTTTTTGTCTAAAACAGTACGACCAGTAGTATCCATTCGTTGAATTACCAAATGATCCAGAACCATTTTCTGCTTTGCTCTTTCTACAATGTCTTCCTCAACTGAACCTTTCGTAACCAGTCGATAAATATTTACTTGATTCTTCTGTCCAATCCTGTGAGCACGTGCCTGGGCTTGTAAATCATTTTGAGGATTCCAGTCCGAATCAAATATAATAACTGTATCTGCTGTGGCTAAATTAATACCGAGTCCACCAGCCCGAGTTGATAGTAGAAAACAAAAATCTTGAGATCCCTCAGCATTAAAATGTTCTAAAGCTTGTCTTCTTATATCACCTTTAATGCTACCATCAAGTCTTTGAAATGGTAAATGTCGATAACTTAGATATTCAGCAAGAATATCTAACATACGAACCATCTGAGAGAAGATCAATACTCGGTGGCCAGTTTCTCTCAGACGTACTAATAACTTATCAAGTATCTTAAGTTTTCCAGAACCTCGTAATAAACTCTAAAAAGAAATGCAAATATTTTAATATGATTTTTAAGTTGTATTAAGTAAATTATAGTCACCTGAAGATTGTCATCAGCTGTGTTTTCATTTTCTTGGGGTTTAGTTAACAGAGCATGATTACAGCACTTTTTTAATTCTATCATTATATTTAAAAACGTTGTTGATGATCCCTTAGACCCTTTTCTTAAAGCATTATAATTTTTAGTCAATATCCATTTGTAATATTTTCTTTGTACAGGAGTCATTTCTACCCTTAAAATTTGTTCAACCTATTAAGCAAAAGATAATTAATTTAACACACCAAGTATCATTACTTAGTATACAAATAAGACATTTTAATATAAATATTCAATATTATCATTAATAAAAAAAAATAAACTCATGTAATCATACTTTGGCTGGTAATGACTTTTCTACATCTTTTTTAACACGGCGTAAAATATATGGTTCGAGTTGTCTATGAAGTTTCGTATAACCTTTGCTAGCTGCATTGTCATGCATATGCTCAAACTCTTCCCAGTTATCAAATCTATTCAACAAAATAATGCATAA